GACGCTGCTAAAATCTCAGGACTGGAACGAATGAAGACATTACTGGCGCCTGCTTGAGCAAATCCATGAATAACGGGACAACAGTGATACAGTGATACAGTGAACCTTCAAATAGGACAAATTCACTAGTGTCTGAGGAGTCTTGCATGAACAATATATGTCAAAATAATCAGAGAAAAAGATGGGAGTTTGGACCTGAGCAGTGGGTAAGGCACTTGCCTAGCACATGGCCAATTTAGGTTCAATCCCTGGTTCCCCACATCACATATGGTCTCCAAACCCCATCGGAAGTAAGCCCTGAGGATGCTGTATATGCTTCCCCTCTCCCAAAAAGGGGGGGGGAGGGAAAGAGTTGAGGAAAATGAGTATAAAATTTAAGTTCAAAATAATAGCAACAATATCCCCCATCCCCCTTGGAATTAGAAAAGATTTAACACTCATAAAATAAACGAAGAAACAAGAGAAACATCTAATGAGCAGTTTAAAGTTACTTTAGATCAAAGTTTAAAGTTACTTTAGATCAAAAACTAGGGAGTAATAGGGCTGAAGCAATAGCACAGCGGGTAGGGCGTTTGCCTTGCATGCAGCTGACCCGGGTTCGAATCCCAGCATTCCGTATGGTCCCCTGAGCACCGCCAGGTGTAATTTCTGACTGCATGACCCAAGAGTAACCCCCGTGCATTGCCAGGTATGACCCAAAAAGAAAAAAAAAAAAACCAAAAAAAAATAGGGAGTAAAATAGAATACACGGTGACCAGGAAAATAAAATGGAAGTGCCCCAGGAAGCAAAACTATTAACCAGAAGAGGCAAAAGGAAGAAAAGAGAGAAAGGGAGACCAGAAATCCCGAGTGGAAAACCTCAGTGTCCGTTATAGAAGCTCCAAAAACAGAGAGTAGAGAAAATGGAAAGGAGAAAACAGCAAAAGCATAGTTCAGGAACACTTGGAATTTTTGGTCCATTGACCTGTTCCTGTTTAAAATTTATGAAGAAAAACATTTTGGAGACAACACACGGCCAGCGATGACCAGGGTATAGTTCTGGTTCTGTGCTCTGGGAGCACTTCTTGCAGTGCTCATGGGCTCATATGCAGTGCCCAGGATCATACAAAAAGTGCCCGCAAGCAAGCAGCTAAACCTCTGCATTATCCCTTTAGCCCCCAATTTTTTTTTGAAAAGTACTAAGGACCAAAAAAGTTTGGGGTGGGGGCTGGAGTGATAGCACAGCGGGTAGGGTGTTTGCCTTGCACGCAGCCGACCCGGGTTCGATTCCCAGCATCCCATAATGGTCCCCCGAGCACCGCCAGGAGTAATTCCTGAGTGCATGAGCCAAGAATAACCCCTGTGCATCCCGGGTGTGACCCAAAAAGAAAAAAAAAAGTTGGGGGTTTTGTGTGTGTGTGTGTGTGTGTGTGTGTGTGTTTTGTTTTTGGTTTTGGTTTTTTTGGTTTTTTTTTTTGCTTTTTGGGTCACACCCGGCAATGGACATGGGGTTACTCCTGGCTCATGTACTCAGGAATTCCTCCTCGCAGTGCTCAGGGAACCATTTGGGATTCTGAGAATCGAACCCAGGTTAGCTGCGTGCAAGGCAAATGCCCTACCCGCTGTGCAATATATTGCTCTAGCCCCTTTTTTTAAAATTATTTTTTATTTATGCCCCTTTGTTTACTGTGGTAGAAATCAAAACTGAAAAGTTGTGAAATGCTCCAATATTTTGCTTTTGTTTTGTTCTCTCACTAGCACCTTTTGCATATTAGAATTTACAGTCTTAGAAACTCTTGACCGTCGGGCTTGTTAGCAGCCACTGGCCTCTCTTACCTGCTTGCTGCTCTCAATCCATCCCTAATCAGTCACGAACCCTCTGGAAAGACCCGCGTTCATTCTAACAAGAGAATGAAAGGGAAAACAGGCAATTGTATCTAACAACTTGTTCTCTGTTTGGAGTTTTTCTGTTTGGATTGTTTGTTTGTTTGTTTGTTTGTTTGAGTCATGCTTGAGGATTACTCCAAGCTTCATGTTTGGGGGTTGCTCCAGGTGGTACCCAGGGGACCGTGTGATGCTGGAGGTTGAACCCAGGGCTCCTTGAAAGCATTCACTTCAGCCCATTGGGGCATCTCCCTTCCCCATAGTATTTTTATGAAAACAGTGGCCATAGGGGCCTGCAAAAGGCATCTTAGAGGGGCTGGAGCGATAGCTCATGTGTAGGGCATTTGCCTTGCACGCAGCCAACCCAGGTTCAATCCCAACATCCCATATGGCCCTCCAAACATCACCAGGAGTAATTCCTGAGCGCAGAGCCAGAAGTAACCCCTGAGCATTGCTGGGTGTGACCCTAAAAGCAAAAAAATAAAGTTTAGTAGGTACTCAGAGAACTGATATCTAGGATTTCCATTTCCAAATTTTGCATCTGTTTTTGGAGGGGAGAGTTGCGCCACAAGAGCAGTGCTCAGGGGATACTCAAGGCTCCAGAGTTGCTCCTGGTAATGTTTAGGGGTCCCCGGGAATAGGGGGCTTGATCCCAGGACTCCGATATGCAAAGCACATGCTCCTGGTCTTTGAAGCTCTGACTTCTACCCAAAACTCAGAACAGAATTTGTTGAGATGATGATGTAAGGAAAGGATATTTGAGGTAAAGTTAAGAGAACAATATCTTAGAGCTGGAAAGATAGTGTAGCAAGTAAGGTGCTTGCCTTGCTCACAACAGTCCCGGGTTCAATCCCTGGCATCTCTTGTGGTCCCCTGAGTACCAACAAGAGTTATTCCTGAACACAGAGACAGATCAGACTAAGTCCTGAGCATAGCTAGCTGCAGCCCAAAAGTCAGCGAGAGAGAGAGCGAGAGAGAGAGAGCTATATAACACTGAAAATAATAAAAATTCAATATCAGTACATTTAGAAAGATGGAGACATATAATAGGAACAGCTGAAGAGTTAAAAATAGCTTCTGGGCAGTCAAGTATGGGAAACAGCAACAAACTATAGAATTATTAAAATTTTATTAACTACATAGCCAATTAAAAGAAGCACTCAACATGGTAAAAAACATATTAATGGAACTGGTATGGAATAGAATTTAGAAATGCATTAACGATCACACTGATAATGGTCTTCAACCCAGCAATTCCATTTATATAATTTTATCCTGCAGTAAGATCATGTTAATTATAGCATATTCATATATATTCATATATTGTGATATTATATATATTATGTAGTTACTTAAAATAATGAACCATTAAAATGACATAAAATTTAAATATATGTATAAATTTTATTTGAGAGGGGCCAGTGAGATAGTAGAAAACGTAAAGGGCTTGAGAGAAAGAGGAAAATTGTCCGCCATAGAGGCAGGGTGGGACAGGGTGTGAGGGGGAATACTGGGGACATTGGTGGAAAATGTATACTGGTGAAGAGATGGGTGTTCGATCATTGTGTGACTGAAACTCAAACATGAAAGCTTTGTAACTGTAGCTCATGGTGATTCAATAAAAATAAATTTTTTAATTAAAAGAGAGAGAGAGAGATTGGTAAAGGATTTAACTTGCCAGCATCTGGCCCTAGTTGAATATCTGAACCTCTAACCCTAACCCAGAGCTCCGCCAGAGGTCTCTCCAGAGCACAGAACAAGGAATGATCCCTGAGCACTGTTATATGTGGCCCCAACCTCCTTCCCCTCCACCCAACACACACACACACACACACACACACACACACAAACACACATACATCGGAGGAGAGATATTTTCTCTCCAGCGTTTATTTCCATATGAGCATTTTTTTTCCATATGAGCATTTTTTTTTCCATCTATAGTGTTAGATTTGTGAGTGTGATTTTTTTCCCCATCACTGAATATCTGGCTTCTAATGGACTTCAGTTTTTTTGTTGTTTGTTTTGGGGTCACAACCGACAGTGCTCACAGGTTACTCTTGACTCTGCACTCAGTGATGGAGGACCATATGGGATGCTGGGGAATGAATCCAGGAGAGTGAGTTCATACGTGTGAGCATGTGCAGACAGTGACAGACTTGTAGAAAATGTGGGACTTCTCTCTGCTTGTTTGTGGATCTTTTCCATCTGACCTTGGGACATCCCTTCCCTTAACTTTGGTTCTATGGACAGTAGTCCTCAGTGTTCCGGTGAAGAACTATTTCTTGCCAGGGAAGTGATCACACTTCTTTTTTTTTTCTTTTTGGGTCACACCTGGCGTTGCACATGGGTTACTCTTGGCTCGTGTGATATTATATATATTATGCAGTTACTTAAAATAATGATCCATTAAAATGGAGTGATAGCACAGTGGTAGGGTGTTTGCCTTGCGCACAGCCAGCCCGATTCCTCTGCCCCTCTTAGAGAGCCTGGCAAGCTACTGAGAGTATTCAATATGCCAAACACAGTAACAAGAAGTCTCACAATGGAGACGTTACTGGGCCCGCTTGAGCAAATCGATGAACAACAGGACAGACAGACAGAAAATTTAAATATATGTATAAATTTCATTTGAGAGGGGCCAGTGAGATAGTAGAAGAATTACTCCTGGCAGTGCTTGGGGGACCATATGGAATGCTGGGAATCAAATCTGGGTCGACCACGTGCAAGGCAAATGCCCTACCCACTGTGCTATCGCTCCAGCCCCTGATCACACTTCTTAGTGATATGAACTATCATCGTGAGACTGTCCACTGTCCTCCCATTGTTCATCAACTTGCTCAAGTGGTCCCAGTAGCGTCTCCATTATGAGACTTGTTGTTACTGTGTTTGGCATATCAAATATGTCACAGGTAGCTTGCTAGGCTTTACCGTGTGGGTGAGATACTCTCAGTAGCTTGTCGACTCTCCAGGAGGGGCGGAGGAATTGAACCTGGGTCAGCGGGTCAGCCACGTGCAAGGCAAATGTCCTACCGTTGTGCTATCGCTCCAGCCCCTGATCACACTTCTTGGTGATATAAACCACCATTGTGAGACTACAATCTAATATGTTCTCTGCTTGCTGTGTTTTTCATTAGTGAACTTCTACAAGATTTGGAAAACTGTGAAAACGATCCGGTGGCCATCGCAGAGTGTTTTGTGTCCAAGGTAAGTGGGTTCATTTCTTTGGGACCATCAAGATGGAGATTTCATTTTAAACTTAGCCACTAATCTCTGTGATTTGGGGTGAGTGTGTGTGTGTGTGTGTGTGTGTGTGTGTGTGTGTGTGTTTTACCAGCAAAGAAAATACAGTGTTACTGTCCTCAGTCAGTTAGAAGATCCTAATTTTGTTTGTTTGTTGTTGTTGTTGTTTCTTTTTTTTGCTTTTTGGGTCACACCCTGCAATGCACAGAGATTACTCCTGGCTCTGCACTCAGGAATTACCCCTGGCGGTGCTCAGGGGACCATATGGGATGCCAGGAATCAAACCCGGGTTGGTCGCGTGCAAGGCAAATGCCCTACCCGCTGTACTATTGCTCCAGCCCCAGAAGATCCTAATTTTGTACTTGTCCTAGAATGTATAGAATAGCTAAAAGGTTGGTATCTAACTAATCAGTAAGCCTACAGCAGCCAGAGTACAATGTTGGAAAAATAAAACATGAAAAATACAACTAACCAGTTGTAAACCTTGTTTGACTATAACTATTTTATAGATTATATATGCGCCACTGGTAGAGGCTGGATAATTATCCTTTAGGGGATAAAGAGAAGCAGAATCCACCTCCTGTATCTTAAAAAGCTGCGCTCGGGGCCAGGAATGTGGCTCAGTTGATAAAACACTCAGAGAAGGGAGCACCAAATAAAGGGTGTTGGGAGGATCCTCCCAGGATGGGAGAAGCATGCTGAAAGTAGACTATAGACCAAACACCGTTGCCACTCAGTGCCTCTCTTGCAAACCACAGAACCCAAAAGGAGAGAGAGAGAACAAAAGGGAATACCCTGCCACAGAGGCAGGGTGGGATGGGGGGACGAGGGATGGGAGGGATACTGGGACCCGTGGTGGTGGAGGATGGGCACTGGTGGAGGGATGGGTGTTCGATCATTGTATAACTGAAACCCAAGCACAAAAATTTGTAAGTCTATAACTGTACCTCATGGTGTTTCACTAATTAAATAAATAAGCTTTAAAAAAAAAACCACTCAGTTCAATCTCTAGCACTGTCCTCCCATTGTTCATTGATTTGATCAAACAGCCCACTAACATCTCTATTGTGAGACTTGTTACTGTGTTTGGAATACATCACGGGGAGCTTGCCAGGTTTTGCTGTGCGGATGAGATACTCTCGGTAGCTTGCTGAGCTCTCCAAGAAGGGCGGAGAAATCAAACCCGGGTTGGCCACGTGCAAGGCAAACGCCCTACCCACTGTGCTTTCGCTCCAGCCTAGGGAAAAAAAAAAAAAAAGGACATTCATGTTCATGCTTTTATTGGGGGGGAGGGGGAGAGAGTCAGGGAGAGGAGGTCGAAGCACTCCACAGTGCTCAGGGGCTACTCCTGACTCTATGTCCAGTGATGCCCAGGATGGAACCTGGGCCTCCCCACCGAGCTCTATCCAGCTTCTGCTTTTTCCCTTAAGCAGCACTGATGGTTCAGAAAAGTACCAGGATTCAAGGAAAACCTGTGACTTTGAAAGCCACAGTGATGGTTCCTTGCTGTAGCAGGGCTGGGGTTTGGTCCTGAGACCTACACCACAGCCCTTCCCCCCACCCCCACCCTCACCCACCGTCTCCCTGTGCTACCTATTGCCCCACTCCCAAACGTTTCTCTTAAAAATCCAACAGCTTTGGGACTGGAGCGATAGCACAGTGAGTAGGGCATTTGTCTAGCATGCGGCCAACCCAGGTTCGATTCCCAGCATTCCTTGTGGTCCCCCAAGCACCACCAGGAGTAATTCCTGAGTGCAGAGCCAGGAGTAACCTCTGTGCATCGCCAGGTGTGATCCAAAAAGCACTGTAGCACTGTTCTCCCGTTGTTCATCGATTTGCTCGAGCGGGCCCAGTAGCGTCTCCATTTTGAGACTTGTTACTGTGTTTGGCATATTTAATACGTCATGAGTAGCTTGCCAGTCTTTGCCGTGCAGGCGAGATACTCTCAATATCTTGCTGGGCTCTCCAAGAGGGGCAGAGGAATCGAACCTGGCTCGGCTGGGCCGGCCACGTGCAAGGCAAACGCCCTACTGCTCCAACAGCTTTGACTTGGAAAAAACCTCATGCAGCAATGATTTTGCAGCAGAAATGGATGTGAACTCTGCCAGGTGCTTTTCCAGAAGGGCCAAGGTTCAGGCAAAGTTCGCCTTGGGTGCTTTGGGATGGGTTCAGAATGTGCTCCTCATTCTGAGCTCCAAAGCGAAGGGAGGGCAGATGTCCTCCCAGCCTGACCTGGAGCCAAATAGTCTTCCAAAGGGCCGTTTCTTTGGCTGAAACACCCAGGCAATGGTTCTCCATCCAACTGCCACCCTTAGGGTTTTCCTGTGGCTCCTTAGAGGCATGGGCTGGGCTGGGTGTCCCGCTTTGGGACTGGGGTGAAACTGCGCGCACACAGTTCTTCTCACAGGCTGCCTGGGTCATTCTCCTAAAAGGGTCAAGCTGTGAGAAAGAGGAAAGGGAAAGAGGAGGAAAGGATCAAAGGAAGACAGGCCAAGGGTATCAGAAGATAGGGTTCGAATAACCACAGCACATAAACAACACAGAAGCTTTCGGAAACGTTGGGGGGTTTACTGGTAACTGTAATCACAAGTTGATTAAAGATGGTCCAGCATACGCTTAGCTCAGGCTTAATTATTCACATAAAAGTCTGTTTATGGGCCACGCTGCCAACTCCCCGATCTTCCTTTCATTGTAATGGTGCCAAGTTTCATTAGCCGACTCACTCGGGCGGCCCGCTCTCCCATGTCAGCCGGGAAGGGGGGAGGGCGGGTTTGTCCTGGCACGGCCTGCTTCTCACTCAGCACCCTGAGACGGAGGCGCGGGGACGCCCTCCTCACCAAGGAGTGGAAAATCGCTCTAATTGAATGGCCGCGAGAGAGAGGAGGGCGCGCCAGGCTGACTGAGGCTCCGAGCTGGGTCCCCAGGGCTCACCCGGCTGCAGCTCTGCCCTCGCCTTGGATAATCCGCCTGCCAAAGTGAAATCTTTGTGTGAGTTCTCAGCCACACATGATGACAACCAGGAGCCACAGGACCCTGCTCTGGATGGGTCAGGCGGGGCTGGCCCCAGGGGAGCTCGTAGACAAACATCTGACTTAACCTTTGCTTCCTGCCCTCACCTCCACCCCATTCACAGTCTTTTATCTCCACTGTCTATCAAGGGGATCAGGATACCCCCCACCTCGGGCAGGAGCAATAATACGGCAAGTAGGGTGCCTTGCATGCAACTAATCGGATTTGATCCCTGGTATCCCGTATGGTCTCCAACAGGAGTTGCCAGGAGTGTTTCCTGAGTGCAGAGCCAGGAGTAACCCCTGAGTATCCCTGGGTGTGACCCAAAAAGACAGAAAAAAAATACACCCCCTCTCCTTCCCTGTAGAGTGCGCACACATAAACACACACACACACACACACACACACACACGTATGCCATCTATTGAAATTATCCTCCAAACACTGATTTTAGTTATTTATATCCTTGGAGTGAATTCAAGTTACTCACATATGCTTTGCATGTTAACCCTTTGGTTGTGAGGGCCGGACAATGGCTCCAAGGGCTGGAGCATATACTTTGATCCCCAGAGCACTGAAAGGAGCAACTCTGAGCACTCAGCCAGGAGTAGCCCCTATGCACTACCTAGTGTGATACAGAAACAAGTTTCAAACTCTCTCTATTTTATAACTATGAAGCTTACTTGGGTACATTTCACAGCTATAGTCTAGGAACCTATGTTGTGTGTGTGGGACTTACGCTCAGAGGGGAAATGAGAGCCTATGGGGGAGGAAATCCTAGAGTCACAGATTTCCTCAGTCTAGTGAACATCAAGAGCTGAGTACTGTGGGCCCCGTGGCCAGCTCTGCTTGTGTTTTAGGATCTTTCATAATTAAATTTCCCATTTTTATATTCTATGAAATTGCAATTTGAAAGAGTGATAATAGCCAGAAGGGGTTGGAGCGGTAGCACAGTGGTAGGGTGTTTGCCTTGCACGCAGCCAACATGGCCAACCCGAGTTCGATTCCTCCGCCCCTCTCGAAGAGCCCGGCAAGCTACCAAGAATATCTCACCCGCACGGCAGAGCCTGGCAAGCTCCCCATGACGTATTCGATATGCCAAACACAGTAACAACAAAGTCTCCAATGGAGACGTTACTGGGCCCGCTCGAGCAAATCGATGAACAATGGGAGGGCCTTTACTTTACTTATATTATTGTTCATAATATCTTTATCATTACTCCCCCACCTTCTAAATGCTTCTGAGAAGGAATTAGATTAGCAGAAGTCCTAAGTGATGGGAATTTAAGGACTTATGAGGGGCTGCTGTTTTCTTTATAGAAAACCATTGTTTGAATAGTCAACAGAGCTTGTAGGTCTATGATTAAATATGTGTTTGATGGTACAGTAAGAATACATAGTAGAGGGGCCGGAGCAATAGTACAGTGAATACGGGGCTTACCTTGCATGCAGCAGAACTGAGTTCAATCCCCATCCCATATGGTCCCCTGAGCACATCTGAGAGTAACCCCTGAGCATCACCATATGTGGCCCAACCCCCCCCCAAGAAAACCATAGTTGGGGGGCCAGGAGATGGCTCCATGGGCTGAACACGTGCTTCATATGCAGAGACCCCACAGCCACATGATCTCTCAAGCATCAACAGGAACAACCCCTGAGCACTGCTAGGAGAGACCTTGGACCAAAGCAAAACAGCAAGTGGTTGATTTGCATCAAAACCCAAGGTGGGGGGCTGGAGCTATAGCACAGCAGGTAGGACATTTGCCTTGCATCATGCAGCTGACTAGGGTTCAATTCCCAGCATCCCATATGGTCCCCCAAGTAACACCAGGAGTAATTCCTGAGTGCATGAGCCAGGAGTAACCCCTGTGCATCGCTAGGTATGACCCAAAAAGAAAAAAAAAACCCAAGGTGAGAATAGAACAAAGTCTGGTGTCATGAAATGTGTGATTAAATGGTACCAGAGCCTCAAGGCTTTGTGGAGGAGAGACATACAGAGGGCAAGTGTCACATGTCCCATTGACCTCTTCTCATTGAGCTGGTTGTGTGGAAGTTTGATGTTGCGAGTGACCCCAAAGGTCCCCAGATTTAAGGAAATGACATTGCTCAACCCCAAGGTGAGTTCTGCAGAGGGGTTGGGGGGGGTAGGGAGAGTAGGAAACTTGGAGTGGGGAGGGTGGTGTGAGCACACCCAGAGGAAGGTCCCAGTCTGAGACTCAGCTAGGAAGACCCAGGGCCGATGCTTCACGTCTGTCTTTCCTGCCCAGGGAGCAGGGGCTGGAGGTTGCCGGGCCTTGGGGAGGAGGCTGGGAATGCAGTGCCCAGATGGGCGTGGTGACTGGCTGCTTTACAGCGACAGAGAAGCAGGTCATACTCCAGGCCCACCCCCAGTGGCTTACACTTTTTCAGGAAACATCATAAATCAAAATGTTTCCGTCTTCTAATTTTTAGAGGAGTTGGCAGCTAATGGTAGATTTGGGTTTTAAAGGACTTTGCTTGAAAAAATTGGCAGCATGAAAGTCGCCACGGCCACAAGGGAACAGGCATTCCTGTCAGGGAGATGAGAAAGGAGCACACAGGGTCCACGGAGGAGAATCTCTCTGGATCCACCAGCATTACCTCTAAATCCACCATCAGTATTGCAGCCTCCTTCTGAAGTCTCCTCCAAAGACGGAATGTCTCCCAACCAGTCGGGCTGAAAAGAGAAGACAGAGTGAAGGCACTTGCGTTGCAGGCAGCCAACCCCAACTCAAGTCCCAGCACCCCATAGGGTCACCCAAGCCCCATTCGGAGTGCTCCCTGAGCACAGAACCCAAGTATGGCTCCTAGGTGCGGCCCACCCAAAACTCACACTTATTTCTCACAATAATGTTATAACTTATAAATAAACAATATATAGAAATATACACATAGGAACAGAAGCAAACTTGAGGTTGTAGAACTATAAAATATATGGAAGCAAGCCAAACATCCTTAAACAGGAAGCCGGTTGAATCAACCATGGCTTGACCAAATAATGGAGTATGGAGTATGATCAAAGAGTAAAAGGAAATAACTGTTACTACTACTACTGCATGCAGGGAGTGAGGAGAGTAGGCAGACGTGTGGATGGTTCTGCAGTTCCTGGGTGAATCGCAATAGCTATTCACCCAGTAGTGAGAAAGTTGTTAGATGTATACAGGGGCCTGAAAGGTGGCTCATTGGTGCATGCATGTCTTTCTACATTGGATTTGTGTGTGAAACCCAGGCACCACATAGGAAAATATAAACTCTTCGTTCTATTAAATTAGAAAGCTTGGGGTGTGGATGTGTGTGTATGGTGGGGGGTGGGAGTGAACAAGCTCTCCAGGCATTTGTGATACACATTTAAGTTTGAGAATCACTGACCTAGTTTGATTGTATTTATCTGGGACTAGGGGGAAATATGCCTTTATTTTAATGTGTGTGTATGTGTGTCTGTGTTTTAAGGGTAAAGTATAAGATCACCAATTGGCTATTGAGAACCAGAAGGATGGAACAGTGGCTAGGGCACTTGCCTTGCATCCCAATCAGGGTTCAGTCACCAGCATCCCATATGGTCCCCCTGAGCCCTCCAGGAGTGATTTCTTAGTGCAGAGCCAGGAATAAGCCCTGAGTACTGCCAAGAGTGGTCAAAAAGAAAAAAGAAAACATAAAATTAGTTATGATAGAAAAGAGAAGTAATCAAGAACACAGGTATAGACGCAAGGCCTCTCTACAATGCCTATCCCTGGACAGCTAACTGTGAAATCATTTGCCTGTTTCACAAGATGACAAAACTAAAGTTTTGAGAATCAGTCTCTGAAAATTGAAAGCAAGATAAAACAATGAGCCTAATTGTGTATTTAGTTTGTAGCAGAACCACACAGAGGAAATTCTGACTGAATTTAAAATAGGCAGTGGACAAGATTGAGCAAATAGATCTTTAACTGCTTTCAGTAATGAAGTCATCTCTGGTGGTGGTTGCAGCGTTGGTCTGAAATTAAGTGTATTGTGAGAACACGTGAAGATTTATGATAGTGTCTCTGGGAATTGAAGTTGGTCAGAGAAAGAAAACATGGGACAAGAATGAGACAAATCAGAAATGGTGCAGTCTTTCACGAATGTGAATTGCAAGTTGAACTGAGAATTTATATTTAGTTTCTTTCTTGTTTGTGGGGGAGAGGTTTGGAGATCACACCCCAAAATGCTAGGGGTAACTCTTGGCTCCAAATTCAGGAATTACTCCTGGTGGTACTTGGGGGACCAATAGGGATGCTGGGGAATCAAAACCAGGTCAACTACCTGCAAGGCAAGTACATTACCTGCTGTACTGTCCTTCTGATTGGGAATTTATCTTTAAAAATCATCATATTCCGAACCTGGAGATAGTTCAGAGGGTTTGATTTGCATTCCAGAGTTCCACTTTGATCCCTAACCCTGCATGGTCCCCTGAGCACCTCTGGGAGCAATCTCTAAGTAGATCTGAGCTATCCCCTGACAATGCGAGGTGTGGCCCAATGTGTGAAATAAACCACCCCACTATATCTCTAACTCAGACAAGGTCTAAAAATAGCTAGCAACCTGATCATAAGAGAATCCCTACTGCTCAGATCGTGGATTCAAGTTCTACTTAAAACAAAATGAGAGCCAGAACTCCATGAAAGAGTAGAAGTAGGAAATGTACAAGATGGCTGGAACATCTTGTCAACCAGCAAACAAGGACGCTCCTGGAAGCTGTAGGTCAAGCTTGGAAATTTAAAAAGAGGCTCCTGCTGGCCAAATGTGAGCTCATTCCAGTCATCCATCAAAATAATGAACTGAAAGCAACTGAAACATGTTACGGGGAATGGAGAAGAGAGTTCAATAGTCTGAGCGGATGCTTTGCATGCAGGAGTGCAGGGTCAGTCCCCAGCCCGGCAGTGGGGGCCCCTGAATACCACCCGGAACAATCCCTAAACACTGAGGTGGAAGTGGCCCCAAACACTGCCAGGTATGGCCCCCCGTTCCCCAAAAAATATAATTCCATTTAAGTTGACAAGAGTTAGTAATTCGCTGGCTTTGAATGATTCCTTCTAACAGCAGTTTTAAAATCGAAAGCTTAAAAACTTGGCTTTGGAGGCTGGAGCGATAGCACAGTGGGTAGGGCATTTGCCTGGCATGCAGCCAACATGGCCCACACAGGTTCGATTCCCAGCATCCCATATGGTCCCCTGAGCACTGCCAGGAGCAATTCCTGAGTGCATGAGCCAGGAGTAACCCCTGAGCATCGCCGGGTGTGACCCAAAAAGCAAAAATAAATAAATAAATAAATAAATAAAACCTTGGCTTTGGCCCCTCACCTGTGGTGTATGTATCTCTTTCTCATAGTAGTATAAGGCAAAATTGCAAAAGATTTTGAAGCAGACAGAAATAATTTCTGGATCCCTTTAAAAAGAGGGGAAGGGATGGAATGGGAAGTGAAGGAACAGAGGGAAGGGGAGGGGACGGTGAGGGAAGGAGGAAAGGAGGGGAGAGGAAGGAAAGGAAAGGAAAAAGAGAAAAGGAAAGGCATATTTTTAGGGCCAGGGAGATAGCACAAAGGGCGAAGCATATGTCTTACATGCATAAGGCCCCGGGTTCAATCCCGAGCACCAAGCACACGTGAGCACTGCAGTCAAGTGTGTTTTGTTTTGGTGTTGTTGGGTTTTGTTTTTGTTGTTAGTTTCAGTGATTTTTTTTTTTATTGAGGCCACACCTAGTGCCATAGCCCAAGGAGGGTCCTATGCAGTCCTGAGTGCAGGGGATCAAACCCAAATTGGCCACATGCAAGGTGAGTGCCTCACCTACTGTACGATCTCTCAGGCCTTGAGATTTTTTTGGAAGTGGGGAAAGAATGAGGGCTGGAGAGATAGCGCAAAGCACTGAGGTCATTCTGTGCATGATGCAGAACTGGGTTTTATCCTCAGCAACCCATGGCACTCAAGATCCACCGGGAGAAAGCCCCAAACAGAGTTGGGATTGGTCTCTGAGAACTGCCAGCTGTACCCACACCTCCAGCTCCCCAAAAGGAAGAGTTGCAGGGCTGGAGTGATAGCACAGCGGGTAGGGTGTTTGCCTTGCACGCGGCCGACCCGGATCCGATTCCCTGCATCCGATATGGTCCCCTGAGCACCGCCAGGGGTAATTCCTGAGTGCAGAGCCAGGAGTAACACCTATGCATTGCCAGGTATGACCCAAAAAGCAAAAAAAAAAAAAAAATCATAAAAAAGGAAGAGTTGCTATTCTTTGGCAAATACTGTGAGAAGAACCAAGAGGTAGAGACCCAGAATTAGGATGTGCCTGAAGCTTACAGAGCGGCAGCTGGAGGCAGAGATGGGCAGACAGCAGGCAGAGCTGTGGAGAAAGGCCTCAAGAGTACACATGGTAGCTTCCTCGTACTTCCAGCATTTTCTTCCGATATGCTATTTAAACGCCCCATTCATATCTCTGCTGAACTGCAAATCCCCTGAAGGATGCTGAGCAGAAACCTTTTCCTCCTCTTCCCATTTTGCCTGCCGAGTCACCCCAGTGTAAGCAGCTACTCACTGTTTAGTGGTCTCCGCGGGGTTCAAGCGTAAGTGGGTTCCTGGCAGAAAACAAGGTAGATAAAGAGGCACAGAGGTTTGACCAGGGGTTGGGGAGATGGTCCCACGTGGTGAGAGAAGTACAGCCACGGGTATGGAAGATTGTTTATTATTTTGGAATGAGTGTTGATGCCCTTGCTGCCTTGCCCATTGAAGTGTCCTTCTGTTTCCTTGCAGAGTGAAGAGTTCCACATTTACACCCAGTATTGCACCAACTACCCCAGGTAAGGATGGAGGATGGGGGTCATGGGGATGGGCTCAGAGCATTGCAGACCAGTCTGGTCCATGTGGTAGAATGAGTTTCTACATAGGGCAGGGTGTGAGTACTCGAGGAAGCTGAAACTGTACTGTGACCAGAAAACAGGCGTCGAGCCATTGAGATGTGGGACTCCCAAATTAGGTGTCGATTCATTGAGATTTGGGGCTCCCCGTTGAGCAGTATGAAGAAAAAAGAAAATCATGGAAGACTCTGAAAGAGACCCAAAGAACTGCTTGCGGTCTTTCCAGGGGGAACTGAGTGACCCGCCTGTGTTTGGCATAAGTCTTGCCATGAATCCTTTTCTCCCCGGAGCCGTGTAGCAGAGAACCCAGAGAGCATTTGCAGTGAATTTCTGGAAAGAAGAGGCAGCTGTGCTGCCCAAGTATGAATGTGACATGGTTTGGTTGTTGTTCATTTGTTTAGGGACCATGCAGGCTGTGCTTGGGTCTTCCTCCTAGCTCTGAGTTCAGGAATCAGCCATGGTGGGGCTTGGGGGACCATGTGTGTTCTGGGGATCAAACTCGAGTCAGGCTGCATGCAAGGCAAGTACCTTACCCACTGTACTATCGCTCCGGCTCATAACGTTTTATGGAATTTTGAGATAGGACAGGTAAGATTCACTTAGCTGAGGACAGAGGGTTTGCTCTCTTAGCTTTGCCTGTAGCGGCAAGAGGACAGTTTTAAGGACAATATATTGGTTTTGGTAATATAGACTGAAATCCCTGGGCCATGGTTGGAATTTCTTTTTCCTCCCCAACATAGATATTGTCCATACTGGTTCCTCAGCCAGCGCTGGGCAGAATGCTGTTGTACCGAACTTCCACAGCAGTGCGGAGTTTTTAAGGGTTGAGACATGGAGCTCCAGAAAGTCTTATCCACACCCTGCCCTGTGCCCATCATTTGCCTGAAGTCATTGAGGCTCATTAAAGCTTGAGCCACTCACTCTACACGGTCCTCATGATGGATGCATGACCCTGCTAGGATTTGAACAGAAATTTCCCCCACTGGAGATTTCATGCTCCAACATCTTCACTGAGTTGCTCTGGCTTTGGGATGCCCACAACTGCCCTTGTGACCTCCCACTCTCTGTTCACTCTCTGGTTTCCCACCAAATCCACCAGACTTTGCATTGTTATCTTAGGGCACAGCCAAAAGGAGCGACACATTCAGTGGCCAGTCTGATAGGGACCTGTCCCTAAGGATACAGAGCCTAGTGGACCCATCGGGAAGGGAAGTCAGTGGCTGATTGATGACGTGTCCCCAAGCTCAGCCTGAGCACTGCTGGGTTGGATGCAAATATGGAAAGCCAGAGAGACTCAGCTGACTCAGCCAAATAGCTCCCAGTGAGGCCTTCAGTCTCAAAGTCATGGTTGGATCTTCCACTGCAGTGATTGATTCGTTCCCTGGCCAACCATGTACCTTCCTGAAAAGCCAAACCAAAGCCATGTCCAGGTCCCCATCTCAGGTCCCGTTGTCCGCACCTGGAGACCCAGCCAGCACTCGACTAGCGTTTCCCAAAGTGGGTGACAAGACCCCTCTCATGGGCACTACCATGACCCAGGGGGGACAGTAGAAATCTCAGGGGAGTTGGGGGGCCTTTTTTTGTTTATTCCCTTCCAGGTAGATTTGCAAGGCAGCATTGAGTGACTATTTTTGTTTGTTGGTTTTTGTTTTTGTTTTTCTAAAAAGCAGTAGGTGGAATAAATGTGCGCACTGCCAGTTCAGACTGTTTGGCTTAAGCAACACTGTTCTCTCCTGAAAGTGTTGCCCCCTCTACATGGAAGATACCTGGAAACTATGGGTGTCCAACTAAATCCCCTGGACTGGAAACTTGAAAGGCATGTTCACACCACACTGTAATTCAGAAAAAGCACAAATTCCGCCCTCAGCTTCCCCATCAACCCTTCTGTGGGGAAGGGAAAAACATTCAAACTCAGCCAAACTCACAAGATGCAGGCCCTATGTGAGAGGATCCCAGCCATTTGAGGGGGACTTGGGGGGCTGGCATCTGCAGACATCTCATTCCACATATGTCACAGGAAGAAATCACTTCTGAATGATGTTTGTGGGATGTTTGTGTCCATATTTTTCTTACTGAATGATAAGAAAGGAGATTAGGTAAGGTATAAAAGGGAATTTTTTAAAATGCACCAGGGGCTGGAGTGATAGCACAGCAGGTAGGGTGTTTGCCTTGCACACGGCCGACCTGGGTTCGATTCCCAGCATCCCATATGGTCCCCCGAGCACTGCCAGGAGTGATTCCTGAGTGCAGAGCCAGGAATAAACCCTGAACATCACTGGGTTTGACCCAAAAAGCAAAAAATAGAATAGAATAGAATTAAAAATGCACCAAATAGGGGCTGGAGCCATAGCACAACGGGTAGGGCGTTTACCTTGCACACAGCCGACCCGGGTTCGATTCCCAGCATCCCATATGGTCCCCTGAGCACTGCCAGGGGTAATTCCTGAGAACAGAACCAGGAGTAACCCCTGCGCATCGCCAGGTGTGACCCTAAAAGCAAAAAAAAAAAAAATGCACCAAATAGTAGGAATGGGAGTTGGAACATTATACGACTGAAATCTAATCATAAACAACTTTGAAACTATGAAAAAATAAAAAGTATTGGATCCAAAAAAAAAGTGACCCAAATAGAGGTAGTGTTTTGTGTCATGGGATTATTTTTAAGAGACCGTCATGCATTGAGCAAGGTTTCAAGCCTAGGATACATTGGTAGAAAATCGGAACTAATAGCCCTGGCCTTCTAGCAGTTGATAATCTGTTTTTGTTGGTTTGTGCAGGGGCCATGTCTGGCAGGGCCCAGGGACGCCATGCTAAGTGTTCATTCTTAGAAGACCATGTAGTTCCAGGCATTGAACCCCAGCCTCTAACACACAAGAGAGTGTGCTCAAGCCCAACTGAGTTATCCTATCTCCAGCCCCAGTTAATCATTTTTTGAGGGTCAGTGCAAAATTAAATACAGTAATGAAGGGCTGGAGCGATAGTACAGTGTGTAGGGCATTTGCCTTGCACTTGGCTGACCCATGTTCTATTCCCAGCATCCCATATGGTCTCCTGAGCTCTACCAGGAGTAATTCCTGAGTGCATGAACCAGGAGTAACTCCTGTGCAATGCCAGGTGTGACCCAAAACGCAAAACAAAAAAAAAAATGCAGTAATGAAGCGAAGCATTAAGGAGCATGCCACCAGGGCCCTAGAGATAGTACAGCAGATAAGGCTCTCGCCTTGCACACAGCAGACCCGGGTTCCATCCCCAGCACGCCCTCAGGTCTCCTGAGCACCACCAGGAGCGATCCCTGAGCACAGCCGGGCGTCTTTCTCCGGTCCAGAAACAACATAAAAAGGAGCATTAAACCAAAAACTACAAATCAGTGTGAAGCGAGTGAGCTTGCTCGAGAAATGAGTCATTCTTATGGCAGCCGCATCTTATTACACTGCACCAGAAGCTAAAACACCGTAGGTGCTGTCACCGTGGGCCCCAGTGAGGAGAACTAAGGACAGTTTCCTGGAGGAAGTCCTTTGTTTTGTTCTGTTCTGTTTTGAGCCTTACTTTGAAGCAGCAAAAAAACTTGTCGCGGGAGTTTCCGGCCCCTTTTCCAGACAAGCAGACCTGGCTGGTTTCTTGCCCAACTCTGTGGTTTTAATCTTCATGTTGAAAAATCTCCATGCCCAGAGAGATAGTACCAGAGCTCACGGGGCTCGCCTTGCACGCAGCCAGTCCTGGGTAGACTCGGAGACTTGGTATAGTCCCCTGAGCACTGCTGAGTAGCCTCTGAGCACAGAGCCAGGAGTAATCCCTGCATCCAGCCTGGTGTAGGCAGAAAACTGAAACAAAACAAATCTCCTGGTCTCCATGAAGCGTCTCTCGGGGCTTCCTCTGCACTGTTGTCACCAGTCAAGACAGCAGGTGGTTGAGCTGATAGCCTCTGCCACCTAGGGCATGACTGGTCAGGAATGTGCCCTGCTCACTGAACACAAACACCAGCCCCCCTGCCCCTCCACACCCCACAGCTGGGAGTGACAAGCCTGCTAGGGGTCTCTACCCTCTGGGTATCCCAGAGTCCCCCAGGAATGTGGAACCTCAGGTATCCGGAGTTTTCAGCTGGCCGTTGTTATCCTTGGACAAGAGCTCAAGCCTTGAGGTGGTGGGAGGGCCATGGAGGAACTAGTTCTGTGTCTGAAGAACCTAGAAAAGTGTGAGTGGGTGTAACTCCACAACGGGAAACGTGCCTTGCATGTGCAAAGCCTTGGGACCAATCCCTGGCATGAGGGGAAAGGAAACAATGACATAATGACAGATCAGGGTCCCAGAATTATTGAATGGTCCCCTGAGCACTGCAGGAAATGACCTCCGAGCACTGCCAGGTGTAGCCTCCAAAAATAAACCAAAAAAAAGGGGGGGGGGGGGGAGAAAAGAACTTAGAAACATTCCTCAGCATCCTGGTGAAGATTTCTTCTGAAACCTGGATTTATGGGGCTAATAACCCCATTTGGAGAGATAATTCTCAAAATAGATGAGCATAAGGGGATTCTAGAACCTTCTTTGTAAGGCCCCTGTTTCATTTCCTTCCAAGGAGTTTCAGTTTATTGTTTGATTCTATCCGATTTTCCAAATTGACTCTAGAAACATACTAGTGACCTAGAGAAAGAGGGGCTGAAATTCCTTTCCCTACTTCCAAGTTGCAAAAATGTGAGATTCTAACTTTTACATATGTGTGACACCAGGAGCCTGGTAGCTTGCAGTGTGTTGTCTGAGATCTGAGCATGGCCTTGACCATTCCACCACGTGCTGGGGCAGGGAGAGTGGCCGCAGTTCCCACGTGAGAGGCCTGCCTTTTCCCATCCACCAGAGACTCCTTCCTTCCAAAACTGTCTTCAAAGCAGGAGGACCGCTCGAAAGCTGAAAGGAATCTGCACTGAGATTCTCAAAGAAAAGTTAGTGTGTGCTAAGGCATCTATAGTATCTTTAAGATAACCAACAGAAGGGGCTGGAGCAATAGCACAGCAGGTAAGGCTTTTGCCTTGAATGCAGTCGACCCAGGTTCGATTCCCAGCATCCCATATGGTCCCCTGAGCACTGCCAGGGGTAATTCCTGAGTGCAGAGCCAGGAGTAATGCACAGGTGTGATCCAAAAAGTCAAGAAAAAGATAACCAACAAAGGGTCGGAGAGATAGTACGGGGGTCAAGGTGCTTGCCTTACATGTGGCCAATTCCCTGAGCACTGGTGGGACTGGCCCCTAATTGAGCATTGCCCCGGGAATCGGCCAAAAGTCAACCCCCAATGCATTATTGATCAACAGAGGGGTGGTAAATGCCCAATACAGGATTGGATTTGTTGGAAAGAAGAATCCCCTTTCCTAAGTACCAGCGTGCCCATCCTTGCAGTCTTATTCATGAACAAAGAATACAATCGTGTGGTTTGACCACTGCACAAAGATGGCCAGATAGGTTCCCAGGGAAGCCTAATGATCCTCAAAGAGGGAGAAATGTGCAACTTTAAAGTTAAATGTTGGGGCTGGAGTGATAGTACAGTGCATAGAGCATTTGCTTTGCATGCGGCCGACCCGAGTTCAATCCCCAGCATCCCATATGGTCCCCCCAGCACCACCAGGAGTAATTCCTGAGTATGCAGCCAGGAGTAACCCCTATGCATCACTGGGTATGACCCAAAAAGCAAAAAATTAAAAATTTAAAAAGTTACAGGCCGGAGCAATAGTACAGAGGGTAGGGCATTTGCCTTGCACGTGGCCAACCCGGGTTCAATCCCCGGCATCTCATATGGTCCCCCCACACCGCCAGGAGTAATTCCTGAGTGCAGAGCCAGGAGTAACCCCTGAGCATCGCTGGGTATGACCCAAAAAGAAAAAAAATAATAATAATAAAGTTACATATCCCCATAGGCCCGAGGACAGTGTAGTTAGTAGAGCGCTAGCCTTGCACACAGCTGATCTGGGTTCTTTCCCTAGCTTCATGTGTGGTTCCCTGAGCACTGCTAGGAGTGATCCTTGACCACTACAAGGTCTCCCTTCCCCCACTAAAAAAAAGAACTGAAGCTACATGTCCCATGCTAGAACATTATTATAGTAAAGTAAAGTAAGTAAAGGCCCTCCCGTTGATCATCGATGTGCTCGAGCGGACCCAGTAACGTCTCCATTGGAGACTTTGTTGTTAGTGTGTCTGGCATATCGAATACTCTCAGTAGCTTGCTGGGCTCTCTGAGAGGGGCGGAGGAATCGAACTCGGGTCGGCCATGTTGGCTGCGTGCAAGGCAGACGCCCTACCCGCTGTGCTATCGGGCCAACCTTTGCCAATTTGTGCAGAGGCATCCTAATGTAGGTGCAATAAAACTGGGTTTAGGATGTTTAAAATGTGAATCTGGGCTACAGAGATGGTACAAGAAGTTAGAGTGCTTGCCTGGCATACGGCTGATCCAGGTCCAATCCCCAACACCACTTATCGTCCCCTGAGCACTGCCGAGAGAGGTCCCAGAGCACAGAGCCAGAACTAAGCCCTGAGCATCTACCAGGTGTAATCCAAAAGCAAAAACAGTTTGGGAACAAAAACAAACAAGTGAACGCCCATGTTCAGCATTGCTGTTTTGATAAAGAATACGTTTTCTGGGGCTGGAGCAATAGCACAGCGGGTAGGGCATTTGCCTTGCACGCAGCCAACATGGCTGACACAGGTTCGATTCCCAGCATCCCATATGGTTCCCTGAGCACCGCCAGGAGCAATTCCTGAGTGCATGATCCAGGAGTAACCCCTGAGCATCGCCGGGTGTGACCCAAAAAGCAAAAAAATAAAAAATAAAAAAAAATAATACATTTTCTTCCTGCAGCTCGGTAGCTGTGTTAACCGAATGCATGAGGAACAAGATGCTGGCCAAATTCTTCAGGGAACGTCAGGAAACTCTGAAGCACTCTCTTCCCCTGGGGTCGTATCTTCTGAAACCCGTCCAGCGGATTCTCAAGTATCACCTCCTCTTGCATGTAAGTTTGCAGGGGGTGGGGGTGCGGGGAGTGGGTGTGTTTATATTAAGTTTAGGGGAGGAAATATCAGAAAAATCTGGGGACATATGGAAACGTTTTCCACCCTCATTCTTTACAACTGACTAATCTGCTTTGAGGAATTAAAGGCCTTTCTAGGCTAAGCCCGCGGCCCCATTGACAACCACCAAGTACAAAGGCTCGTTTTTCGCAGATTCGGATCGGATTTTGGACTACCTCACCCTGGTCGGTGAGAATTGCAGGCAGGGAACTCTCCTAATGAAAACCAGATTGGGCATGTTTTCATTCCCCCAGAGCTGAGTCTGTGGGCTGCCAGAGAAAGGGAGAGGGAACTGTCTCTCAGTCAGAAGCTAACATTCGCTGAGTCAGAGGAAGGGGCTCAGAAGGGAAGAGACAGGTGGGCAGCCTGCAGAGAGTTCTCTGAGCAGGATGTCTCTGCTCCTGGTTCGGGTGGGGACTAGGGACCGGGTGGAACAAAGGGCCTCCCACATGCAAGATACAGGCTCCACCATCTACACCCAGTTGGAGTCGGACTTTCTTTCCTGCCTTTCCTACGGTTTGTAGGAAACAAGCAGGCGTTAGAGACGAAGGTACACCCTCCTCTTGCGGGCCTAAAAGGAGGGAAAGAGAGAGAGTGCCTGCCACAGAGGCAGCTGGGTGTGGGAGGGGGGAAGGAGGGAACCTGGGGACACTAGTGGTGGGAAATGTTCACTGGAGGGGGCTGGAGCAATAGCACAGCGGGGAGGACGTTTACCTTACATGCGGGCGATCCGGGTTCGATTCCCAGCATCCCATATGGTCCCCTGAGCACCGCCAGGAGTAATTCCTGAGTGCAGAGCCAGGAGTAGCCCCTGAGCATCACCGGGTGTGACCCAAAAAGAAAAAAAAGTTCACTGGTGGAGGGATGGGTGATGGAACATTATAGAACTGAAACGCAATCATGAGCAGCTTTGTAACTGTTGTGTATCTCACAGTGACTCAAAAAAAAAAAAGTTTAAATTTAAAAAATGAAGTGTATAATTTAATCCAATCGGCCAGGTGCAAGGCAAACACCCTACCCGCAATATTCTTATGATCCCTGAGCACAAAGTCAGGAGTAAATATGTGCACTGTCAGGTCTGGCCCACACACAAAAAAAATCTAAATAAAATAAGATAAAATGTCTGATTTTAGGGTCTGGAGAAATAGCCCAATAGGCCAGCATACGTACTTGGCCTGCGAGAAGCCGGAGCTCAGCACCCTGCACCCCATAATTCTTCAAGCACAGAACCAAGAGTAGCCCTCAGACGTTACTGGATATGCCCCTTAAAGTTTTCAATTTACCATGAGTAAATGAAGAAGGTGCCTGTTCAGTTTTTGTTTGGTTTGAGGGCCACACGCAGCAGTGTGTCTACTCCTGCCTCTCCTCGGCTATTTCTCCAGCCCCCACGGTACCTATTTTATATACCTGGGGATGGAGCCGGGGGGTAGTACAGCGGGTAGGGCATTAGCCTCGCACACCTCCGACCCAGGTTTGATCCCTGACATCCCATACAGTACCCCAAGCATCACCAGGAGTGATTCCTGAATGCAGAGCCATGTGTGGCCCAAAGCATCTCTGGGTGGGGCCTAAACCTTCCTGATCCTTCCTGTCCCACCAAAGAAAGTTATATAACTGGGGTTGTTTACAGAAGGATTGTTGGCAGGGTCTGGAGAGATGATGGTACAGTAGCATGGATAGGGTGCTTGCCTTGCATCTGCCAACCCTGATTTGATCCCCAGCCCTGCGGTTCCATAAGCCCCATCAGATGTGAGCCCTAAGTCCTGAGCCAGGAGTATATGCTCTGAGCAGCACTCCTCAGGGGTCACCAGTGAAAACCATCTCAGAACCTGATCAGGCCAGCATCCACCACAAACCCCAGAGCTCGGGGCACCAGATCTGTGGCATCAGGAGCATGGTGCAGGGGCTGAGCACTATGAGGGCCACCTTGGTGGAAAGAGACAGGAGAGCTTACTCTTGGGGACCCTGGGGTGAGGCCACTAGTCCCATGGGGGACCAGGGTTGCTCCACGGTCACGACCTTCTCATCCCCCCAGATGTCTCCTAATACAATGCAACCGGGGAGGATTTCAGCACAGGCTGATACGGAAGAATGAGAAACTATTTTCTTGCTGCCACTCAAAGCAGTTTTTGCTATTCCATTTGATTTGAGTATACCTTCTAGAGGGCTGGAGCAATAGCACAGCAGTAGGGCGTTTGCCTTGCATGCAGCCAATACGGCCGACCCGAGTTCGATTCCTCTGCCCCTCTCGGAGAGCCCGGCAAGCTACCGAGAGTATCTCGCCCACACGGCAAAGCCTGGCAAGCTACCCGTGATGTATTCGATATGCCAAACACAGTAACAAAATGGAGACGTTACTGGACCCGCTCGAGCAAATCGATGAACAACGGGAGGACCATGACCGTGATACCTTCTAGAACATTCCCAACATCTCAACACTGTGCAAAGAGCCCAACTCCCAAGTCTATTTATTGATGGCAAAGATTGTCTCTCAGAAGGCTGGAGAGATAGGGCATTTGTCTTCCATGTGGCCAGCTCGGGTTCAATCTCCAGCATCTCATATGGTCCCCCAAGTTCCACTGGAAGTAATTCCTGAGTGCAGAGCCAGGAGGAACCCCTAAGCATTGTCAGATATGGCCTGAACACACACACACACACACACACACACACACACACACACACACACACACATATGCACAAATTGCCTCTCAGACTCCGAAAATAAAATAGTTTTCAAAACATTCTCTGATGCTCTGCACTTTTCCTGGGAGGGGTGAATTCAGTGATGGAGTTCCCTGGACTGAGTGTGGATGGAGAAGTTTAATGGAAAGTTCTTTTCCAGTTACAGCTAGTGGGAGAATCTGAATTTTTGTAAAAGCAAATAATGAAAAAGCGTGACTATACAATAATAAACTGATCTTTATTAGTCATGCTATCACATTCAACCTCCTTCCTGTATAACTGAACAGTGATACACAATAATGTCATAGGAATGTTCTAAGACACTGCAATATCTTCTTTCACTGCTGTTGTTTTAAGAAGATATAGCTTCAAGACTGGAGCGATAGTACAGCAGGTAGGGCATTTGCCTTGCACACAGCCGACTTGGGTTTGATTCCCAGCATCCCATATGGTCCCTCGAGCACTACCAGGAATGAAACAGTTGATTTCCTGAGTGCAGAGCCAGGAGTAACCCCTGTGCATCGTCAGGTGTGACCCAAAACAAAAAAGCAAAAAAAAAAAAGAGAGAGAGAGAGAGAGAGAGAAGGTATAGCTTCAATTTAATGAGCACTGCTGATCACTCAGCTCTCTAAGTCGATAAAGAATTAAAGGAGGGGAGCTGGAGCAATAGCACAGTGGGTAGGGCATTTGCTTTGCATGCGGGCCAACCTGGGTTCGATTCCCAGCATCCCATAGGGTCCCCTGAGTACCGCCAGGTGTAATTCCTGAGTGCAGAGCCAGGAGTAACCCCTGTGCATGGCCAGGTATAACCCAAAAAGAAAAAAAAATTAAAGGGACTAGATAGATGCTCTCGGAGAGCCTGGCAAGCTACCGAGAGTATTTGATATGCCAGACACAGTAACAACAAAGTCTCCAATGGAGACGTTACTGGGCCCGCTCGAGCAAATTGACGATCAACGGGAGGGCCTTTACCTTTACCTAGATAGATGCTATCCTTCCACTCCTTAAAATGAAAGACACAAGCTAGAGGGGCTGGAGCAATAGCACAGCGGTAGGGCGTTTGCCTTGCACACAACCAACCTAGGTTCGATTCCCAGCATCCCATATGGTCCCCCGACCACCGCCAGGAGTCATTCCTGAATGCATGAACCAGGAGTAACTCCTGTGCATCACCGGGTGTGACCCAAAAAGCAAAAAAAAAAAAAAAGATACAAGCCAGAGAGATGACTCAAAGATCCTTTGCATGTGGAATCCCTCCCTTTGGTTGCCAGCACTTCTATCCTTCTGAGAATCTCTGGGCATATCTCCTGAGCACCATGCCAGGTGTAGCCATGAAGCAAGGTGCCTCTGGGGTAGGGCCCAAAGCAAACAATAAAATAAATGCCACTTTATTGACTTGCCACTGGGTTGCAACACTGAGTTTCTGGAATTTGGCTTCCTTTTCCCCCTGCTGTGTGTTATCTACAACTGCTTTATTCTCTTGACCATTCTGGACACTGTCCAGTGCTAAAGGCTGCTGCAAATACTTTCGAGCGTCAGAGAATAAGAGCCGTGAGAACTTTCTCAACACTAGACTTGAGCAAACTTCTTTGGGGCCTTAAAGTCTTACTACTTTTTTTTTACTTCTTTATGGGGGTGGGGGGGATCACCTGGTGATGCATAGGAGTCCAAAAACAAAACCAAAATCAAAAAACTTAGGCAGGATGGCCTTTTTTAAATGTTTTTTGTTTGTTTGGGTTTTTGGGTCACACCCTGTGACGCACAGGGCTTACTCCTGGCTCATGCACTCAGGAATTACTTCTGGCAGTGTTTGGGAGACCATATGGGATGCTGGGAATCAAATCTGGGTCAAACCCGGCACGGCTGTATGCAAGGCAAATGCCCTACCCTCCATGCTATCGTTCCAGCCCCGACTACATTTTTTTTAATGACCTTGGCTAATGCAGTCTCTAGCTCAGAGAGTTCACCCACAGCTCAACCTAAAATGTGCATTCCCTATCCACTCTGGAGAAACCCACTGTCCCTCTTGAACATCCAACTTCCTCCCTTCCTCATTTATCTCTAAATAAAGCTTTATGCTTTTTTTAAAAAAAAATGATTTTCTTGCTACAGAGGTACTTTTTAAGCACCACGATCATGATCATCCTGTTGTTCATCGATTGCCTCGAGCAAGCACCAGTAACATCTCCTTCATCCTAGCCCTGAGATTCTAAAAAGTGCCACATTCAAGGCTCTTTCAGGGTTAGGAGAATGAGACCTATCATTGTTACTGGTATTTGGCATATTGGGTATGCCATGGCAAGTTTGCCAGGCTCTGCCATGTTGGCAGGTTACATTCGGTAGCCTGCCAGGTTGTCCAAAGCAAGAATGATATAATGAGATGTCGCGCGGCCACAAATGCGGCCGCACACTTCCGGGAGCTGGGTTTTATAGTCTCTGGGTCTTGGCCGTTGATGGGATCCCACGTTGATGGGATTATGCTTTTTAAACATAATAACCACTGTTATCTTTTTTTCTTGCAAGCATATTTATTAGAATTGATTTCTCAAAGAATGTTCAGTTAAGAAATAGAGTTGAACAATTTGAATAATTACAATGGACATGGCCACCAGTCCTATAAGTCATTTACTTATGATTATATTTTAGCTAACAGGATTACAGTAGTGTTAACATTGATGGTTATGACGGACAGTTACTGAAACTTTACCCTCACCAAATACCCAAACCCCTCCACCCCTGCCATTATGCTGCTTCTAATCCCCACTTCCTTCCCCACCCTCCCTTCCCACTGCTGGGTAATCTGGGTTTTGTAATCCATCACTGTGATTTTGAGTCTATTACACATGTAAGTCTTGTGTGAGACTATTTTCTTCTTCTCTGGTTAAAAAATAAGTACATTTTCTGATGGGCTGGAGTGATAGCACAGCAGGTAGGGCATTTGCCTTACAAGTGGCCAACATGGCCAACCCGAGTTCGATTCCTCCGCCCCTCTTGGAGAGCCTAGCAAGCTACCGAGAGCATCTCACCTGCGCGGCAAAGCCTGGCAAGCTACCCATGACGTATTCAATATGCCAAATACAGTAACAATTGTCACAATGGAGACGTTACTGGGCCCGCTTAAGCAAATCAATGAACAACGGGAGGACATGGCATTTTCTGACTTGGAAAATGGCACTGGTGGTGCTGAAATTATATCGCGTGGGCAAACAGGCAGCTGGGAAACCTCCAGCCATAATGGTAATTCTCATTCTGGTTACATTAACGCTTAATATCTCAGTGAGATGCATGGCTGGTTTGCCTGCGTTTACCTTCCTTGACTTAAAATCTTAACCCATTTCCCCTAGTTCTGGTTTTATACCTGGTCTGCCATTTTGTGGCTGGTCTTTCTCTTAAGTTATCTCAGCATCTTAAGAAATGAGGGTAAAGAATGAGTGAAAATCACAGATGACGAACAGCTTATGGAGGGGCCGTCTGTTCGGTGGCATATTTGAGAATGAAAAGGGGAATAACCACCTTTGTGGGGTTTTCTTGGTTTTCTTTCTGAAGGAAATAGAAAATCACCTTGCCAAGGACACAGAAGGTTATGACGTGGTGCTTGAGGCCATCGACACCATGCAGCGGGTAGCCTGGCACATCAATGACATGAAACGGAAGCACGAGCACGCTGTGCGCCTCCAGGTGAGCACGGGTCAGCTCCGGCAGTGCCCACCTGGGCGGGCACCCACCCGGGGGTGGGGTCGTGCACACACACACTCCTGCACGAGCACACAGGGCCACTTCCACAATCAACTCTTAAGGCTACTCAACTACTCTACTGGGGCGCCAGAGAGATAGTACAGTGGGGAAGGCACTGGTCTTGCCCTCGGTCTACCTGGATTCAGGTCTCAACATCCCATAGTGTCCCCAAGCACTCCCAGGAATGATAACTGAGCACTGCCGGGTGTTGTGGCCCCAAAACAAAAGAAGTACTGCAGTTTAGTTCATTGTAGTCTACATGGCCCCCCTAGAAGAAAGATCAGGATGCTGATAAGACCGAGCATTGTTTTCCTTTCGGATGGTTGGATGGTTGGGGGATAGGCTGAGCACACCTGATTATGAATCATTGTCTAAAGTGGGGGTGTAGGAGAAAGTTACATGATGACTATTAAACCGATCCTCTGCTCATAGCCCCAAGGGTGACCTGGGATGCAGAGTCAACCCAGGCCTCACCTCTTGTTCATTTCAAATAAGTAATTCTGATTGATGGGCATTTTCTCTAAACTCTTTTGAGCTTCTCGGACACCTCCCCTTATTTGTGCAAAATCACGTAGTGGTGACTGTGTACAGTGGCGTAGGGACTTGGGAGATGCAGTTCTATTCTGTTTGGGGGCCACAGCTTTGGCTACTGCAGTGCTTGAGAGACCCTGTACTGAGAAGGAATGGGCTGGGAATTTCTGGAAAGCCAAGACCAGAAGGAGCCAGGTTCTCTGCAGTTTCTCCTGAGACGAGACAAAATTGGACGCAGAGGGGAGAGAGACCCCCGCATTGCCTGGTCCCCTGAGCTCACTCACGTGCTGTCCAAAAACAAACCAAAAAAGGGCCTTCTCTTCCAAATAAAATGAGGGTTCTGCTCCTAACAGCATTTAAGCCCTCCCTGGAAGCCCCTGTGAGATGTTTGCTCAGTGGCCCCATACAGGGGGCACTCAGAAAATGCATTATTTTAACACAAAACAAGCATTACACCTAGAGGGCATGCTCAGGCTCCTCCTGAGGGTCCCTGGAGTGGGACAATAAAAGCAGGAATGAATCCCTACTTGGCAGAGCGCCTGCATCCAAGGCAGGAGACAAGCTACGTGATTTGGCCTGTGAGTTCAAGTACAACCCGAGGCTTCATCTGTAGGCACTCGGGGTATGTGGTGTAATGACCATCACAAAACAATGCAAGAGAACAGTGTCATCTTCAAACCATCTCTCTCTCTCTCTCTTTCTCTCATGCACATGCTCTCTCTTGCTATTGCTCTCACTCTCTGTTCTATCTCTGTCTCTGTCTCTCTCTGCAATAATAAAATATTCGTGGGCGGGAGCGATAGCACAGCAGGTAGGGCATTTGCCTTGCACGCGGCCGACCTGGGTTCGATCCCCGGCATCCCATATGGTCCCCCAAGCACCACCAGGAATAATTCCTAAGTGCAGAGGCCAGGAATAACTCCTGAGCATCACTGGGTGTGACCCAAAAAACATAAAGCAGACATATTCAGAAATGGTTTAAAGGCTGATTTTTTTTCTCTCCCTTGAGGATCTGTTGTTTGTGCTAGCGATGCTGCAGCATCCACTATGAGTCTTCTCTCTGTTTCCCTGGTCAGCTAATGGAATTTGGGCTTGTCTTGTGGGCTGCTCAATTAAATGCAATTGAGGATTGTTTGCATACTTCAAAATAATAAAATATCTCTTCCTTCAAAAACCCAGTGATGAGGTGGTGGTGGAGGAGGACACATAAAAAAAAATGAAGAAATGTCAAGGCCATGTTACCATTTTATTTCATATATAAAGTTCTAGATTTTTAAAAAACCGTGAAAAAATGTAGATTTCTTGGGTCAGAGAGAGAAAGAGAGAGTACAAGCGGGTAGGCACTTGCCCTGCAGTGTGTCGTGTGTGTCGTGTGTGTGTGTGTTTTCCCCCACAGACTTTTCTTTTGACTTATATATCTGTAATGTGGACTCGCATTTTTGGGGGTAGAAAAATAAAGTTTTCAAGTTGATAGTTTTGAATGTTTCTGTTCAGGCTTGCAGTGAGAAAGTCAGGGGATGAAAGCGAGGTCACATCCAGGCGGCCCCTTACTTCACTGGCACCCAGAGTGCAGGGGTCACTGTCACTGTCCTCCCATTGTTCATCGATTTTCTCGAGCAGGCCCAGTAATGTCTCCATTGTGAGACTTTGTTGTTACTGTGTTTGGCATATCAAATACGTCACGGAGGGCTTGCCAGGCTTTGCTGTGCGGGCAAGATACTCTCGGTAGCTTGACGGGCTCTCCGAGAGGGGTGGAGAAATCAAACTCAGGTCGGGCATGTTGGCTGCGTGCAAGGCAAATGCCCTACCCTCTGTGCAATCACTCCAGCCCAACGCAGGGGTAGTGAAGGGGTAAAGTTGACACCTCACCAGCTTACCGCTCCGTGTCTTTGCAAACCCATGAGTGGTCACCACTCATAAATTAGTCAAAATTAACTTATGTTGGGGCTGGAGCAATAGCACAGTGGGTAGGGCGTTTGCCTTGTGGTCCAAGCCAGGTTTGATTCCCAGCATCCCATATGGTCCCCTGAGCACCGCCAGGAGTAATTTCTGAGTGCAGAGCCAGGAGTAACCCCTGTGCATCACTGGGTGTGACCCAAAAAGCATATATATATAGATTATATAGATATAGATATATATCAACTTTTATCATTGATCATTAGACACCGTGCCTAGATCTCTAGCCCACCCTACCCCATTCTAACTAGGCTTGCCTTTCAGTCTTTCCTCACCGCCCCTATTTCACCCTGGGGATGCGGTTGCCTTCCTTTCCTCAGGAGATCCAGAGTTTGCTCACTAACTGGAAAGGACCGGACCTGACCAGCTATGGAGAGCTGGTGCTGGAAGGCACCTTCCGCATCCAGAGGGCCAAGAACGAGCGGACGCTTTTCCTCTTCGACAAGCTGCTTCTCATCACCAAGAAGAGAGATGACACCTTCACCTACAAAGCTCACATCCTGGTAGGCCCCTTTGTCACGGGCAGGGACTTCTAGGGTTTGTTCCATTTTCCTGCAACTGTCTCACTCTCTGCCTCCTCTCTCACTTGTGTGCTATCTCTCACTCTCTCTCCAGTGTGGCAACCTCATGCTTGTGGAAGTGATCCCCAAGGAGCCCCTCAGCTTCAGTGTCTTCCACTATAAGAATCCCAAACTGCAGCATACAGTTCAGGTAACAACAACACCTCTATCTTCAATGGGCCCGCTCCTGTGAACTATGAATTCTTTGTCCCCTTCCAGAACCTTCCAGGTCTTTCCAGAATGTTCCAGGTCTTTCTAGAACTTTCTGGCCACACAGTGTAATTCTCATCTGGTCAGAGGGCTGTAGTAGTGCCTGAATCTTGTGAGTGGTGGAGGTATGCATCATCTGATTGTCCAAATTTCCTGGTAGGCTCGGTCCCAGCAAGACAAACGCCTGTGGATTCTCCACTTGAAGAGACTCATCCTGGAGAATCACGCAGCAAAGATTCCAGCTAAGGTGAGAGTACAAATAGAAAATGTGCAGAGGAACCTGCTCCAGCTCCTCTCTGGGTAGCCTGGGATGTTTAACTTCAAGATCAGGGAAATTGAAAAACAAGATGTGATAGGAAATCAACTAACTCTGCTATATATACTGAAAAGATTCACACGTGGAGAGCTATGGAGAAAGGGTGATTTATTGGTTTTCTTGTGTTTGGTGAGGTGTGTGTGTTGGGTGAGGGGAGATAAGAGAAAGACTAAGAAAAATTCTTAGACACCTGCTGGAAATAAGTAGTAGTGAATGGGGCCAGAGCAAAATAGTACAGCAGGTAGGGCATTTGCCTTGCACGCGGCCAACCCAGGTTCGAGTCCCAGCATCCCATATTGTCCCCTGAGCACCACCAAGAGTAATTCCTAAGTACAGAGCCAGGAGTAACCCCTGAGCATTGCCAGGTGCAACTCAAAAAAGAAAATAAAGAAATAAATAGTAGTGAAGCATCCACTGCGGACACCACCTGCTCTGGTTCCATGCAAGGCTGGGGACCAAGATCCCTGCTTGCCTACACAGGGACCCAGAGACAAAGATGCTAATCAGAAAACCAGTCTATTGTTTGCAAAACATGCTGAGTGAAAAGAGGTATAAACCAAGTATAGTGGAAGGATCATGATCAGTTAAAATCAAGGGGGAAGGGAAGAGAGGAAGGAAAGGCCCTTCGCTTGATCTTGAAGGATGAGGGATGAAGAAAGGAAAGAGAAGCTGGCCAGGCACCGAATTCACCATGAACAGAGCAGAGAGGCATGAACCAGCCCCCATGTTCAACTCTTGACGATGCCAAGACCCTGCTTTGGGAGTGGAGCAGGAAGCGAGACTTGAGGTGGGAGGCAGTCAGCTGGCTGGAGAGGAGCCATAAGGAGGAGTCAGGACAGAATGGTGGTGGTGAATTATTGGAAGTTTTGGAGGAAGGGGAAGGACGTGATCTCTCTTGGCTTCTGAGGGTCTGAGTTTATGGTCAGAGAAGGCAAATGAGCTAGAGGAGTAAGACAGGAGATGGAGAAGAATGAGCCCATAGAAGCTTCTAGAAAGGGGGACTGAAGTGATAGCACAGGAGGTAGGGTGCTTGCCTTGCACACCGTTGATCCAGACTCCATTCCCAATATCCCCTATGGTCCTCCGAGCACCTCCAGGAATGAGTCCTGAGTGCATAACCGGAAGTAAGCCCTGAGTATTGCAGATGTGGCCCCCAAAACAAACAAACAAAAATGTCTAGAAAAGAAGGGAGGGGCATGCCTGAGACCCACTCTGCCCCCAGCACATAGGGGAGTGGGGGAGAAGTCCACTGCTAGGCAGCGGGAACAGGACTTTGTCCAGCCGGGCCCACCTGGTCAAAAGGAAATAGTTGTCAAGGCTGAATGAGGACGCCAGCCAAGAGGACGTGTTCCAGATTCAAACCGGGCTGCCAGGAAGAGGAACCAGTTCTGTGGGTGGATGCAGGTGCTGGCAGGTGCAGGGTGGGTCTGCGGCAGGTGGAAATTCAAGTCTGGGGCGCGGCCGTCTGAAGGCTTCTTCCCACAGACGGCACTGGAAGCCCAGAGCTGTGATGGGGTGTGAAGGGATGTGATGGCCCGTAAAAGCCTGTCGTGGAAGGCAAGGCTCAAGGAGGCTGGTGTTTATGTTACCTACCTGATGGGCAGGGGGGCGGGGCAAGGGAGTAAGAAAATGGGAGGGGGACAGATGTGATAATTCAGGAGGGAAAGGTCTACGGGACTTGTCTGAACTGCTGCTGTGATCCAAACAGATGCCATCCTTCAGAGGTATCTGTGTGGCAGCAGGGAGAAGGGAGAGATTGCCTAAGGGTGAAGGAAAAGGGGAGTGAGGTATGGACTGGGTTTGGTTTTGATGAAATTCAGGGCCAAAGAAACAGTACTGTGGGTAAGGTGCTTGTCTGGCATTTAGTGAACCCAGGTTAGATCCCTGACACCACAGAGGGTCCCCAAGCACCACTAAGAGTGACCCTTGAGCACAGAGTTAGCCCTGAGTACAGCCAGGTATGTACCCCTATCATGGTCACTATCACCCCGTTATTCATCAGTTTGCTGGAGTGGGTGCCAGTAACATCCCCATTTGTTCCTGTCACGTGTAAGTGTAGTCAGATGGCATATTGGGGGCTCTTTCAGGGTCAGGGGAATAAGGACCATCATTGTTACTGTTTTTGGCATATTGAGTACACCATGGGTAGCTTGCCAGGCTCTGCCATGAGGGTGGGATACTCTCGGTAGCTTGCCAGGCTCTCCAAGAGGGATGGAGGCTTTTGGGTCAGCCTTTAATCACCTTTACAAATGTTCCCAGTGAGGTATATATGCAGGCAAGATACTCTCAGTAGCTTTCCAGGTTCTCTGAGAGCGAGAACTGGACAATAAGAGGTTGTGCGGCCACAAATGCGGCCGCACACTTCTGGGAGCTTGGTTTTATAGTGTCTGGATCTTGGCCGTATACATGGATATGTATATACAAACACAAGTAGAACCCCTAAGTCAAGTGGCAATTTCATTTTGATGTGTCTAAAGGATCTTTCAAAGTGCCTGGCTCATTTGCTATTCACATAAGGGTTCTAATGGCTCATGAAGTGGGTAAAAGGTGAAACTCACTGTGAGTCTCATTTGTGAGGGTGACTGTTCCCTTGCCGGCTGCAAAACCAAATAAATGAATAAGTGAACTGAGTCCCACTAAGCTGAAAGGTGGTCGTTGGTGCAGAAGTGAGACCCTCTGCGTCGGTGAAGGCTGTGGAATTCCTCTGGGGAGGGGGACTCAGGAGGTCAAACACCCAAGCAGACAGATTGAGTGTGGGAAAGTCCCTAAAGAGGTGCAGGATTAGGCCCAAAGCCTTTGGGCCTGGGGGTCGGTCTCAGAAGGGACCGGGCACATCCTCCCTCAGAGATGGGAGAGGAGGACCGCCAGGGGTGGAGGGATTTGTGGTTGGGCCTGAGGGAAGAGAAAGGGTTCGAAGTCACTGAAGAACTGATGAGATAGTTGAGGGTGACTGAAATGAAATTTATGGAAGGAGAGAGAGAGAGGTGGGAGGAGGGAGGGACAGGGAGGAAGAGAGAGAGGGAGGGAGAGAGAGAGAGAAGAAAGGGAGAGAGAGTGAGGAAGGAAGAGAGGGAAAGAGAGAAAGGCAGGGAGAGAGAGGGAGGAAGGAGAGGAGGGAGGAAGGAGAAGGAGAGAGAAGGAGGGAGAGAGAGAGGGAGAGAGAGAGAGAGAGGGAGGGAGAGAGGGAGAGGGAGGGAGGAAGGGAGGGAGGGAAAAGGAAGGAGAGAGAGAGGGAGGAAGGGAGGGAGGAAGAGAAAGAGAGGGAGAGAGAGGGAGGGAGAGAGGGAGGGAAGGAGGAAGAGAAAGAGGGAAGGAAAGGGAGGAAGGGTAAGAGGGAAGTGAAGAGAGGAAGGGAGAGAGAGAGAGAAAGAAAGGGAGAGAGGGGGGAAGGGAGAGAGGAGGGAGAGAAAGGGAGAGAGGGAGGGAGGGAGGGAGGGAGGGAGGGAGAGCCTGCCATAGAGACAGGCTGTGGGGGACTGATAGGAGGGAACCTGGGGACACTGGTGCTGGAAAATGGACACTGGTGGAGGGATGGATGTTGGAACACTGTATGACTGAAACCCAATCATGAACAGCTTTGTAAGGGTCTATCTCACAGTCATTCAGTAAAAAAACTTTTTTAAAAAATCGTGGAAGGCTCCTAAGATGCACTGAAACTGGCCCCCTCAAAACCAGTGAGAATTGGGCACCTCGGCAGCCCGTGGTGAGGCACCACCGTGCCTTGTCAGGGCTCCCCTGCGGTGCCGATGGGCAGAACCAGTGACCAGTGAGTGTGTGGGGGGGCGGGGGGGGCTGGAGGTGGGGGTGGTCTGCCTGGACGCGGCCGGGCAGTGACGGAGCATGATTCCACTGGGCGTGTGGTTCTGGTGTGAAGGGAGAAATGGTTCCGCAGGGGCCCAGAGGTGAGACCTGGGAGAACCCTGCAGAGAAGTGGATGTGGGGGTTGCCCCTTGGAGGGAGGCGGTTCTCAGGGGGACACAAGCAGTAGGGGGAGGTGGCTGTGATCTCCCTGAGGACGTGGGTCATCTGGGATAGTGGCTCCCGCTGGAGCGGACAAGATGAAGGGGTCAGAGAACCACGCAGGGTGGAAGGTCAGGGGGATGGAGGAAGGGGTCGGCTTTGCTCTGTGCCCCTGGGGAGGACTCTTGGCAGTGGTTGAGCCTGGTCTCATCAGGGGATTCTGAGAAGGGTGGGGGCCCCGCGGGAAGGTGTCGGCCAGGGCCTCTGGTGACTCATCTAGCTGCCCGCAGTGTCTGGGAATGCCCCCGGGAGCCAGGCGAGTGTCTGGGACGCGCCCACCCATTGTTCCGCCTGTGGGAACTCGGGTGAGCAGTACCCCTCTCCCCCCCTCACCTGCCGCTGCTGGGGGGGTTCCAGGCACTTTGTTTTCTCCTCTTGGAGTGAAAAGGTCCCACAGGCACCCTCAGGCTGTACATCTCTCCCAAGTTTCAGTTTCTCTTAGGATCAGAACATTGTTTTTGTCTGGGTTTGGCTTTTAGCCTCTACTCTGGAGTTCGTATGATCTGTTCTAGGAGGGCTCCCTAAGCTTTTCCTGAGAAATGCAACACGGGGCCGGGGTGATAGTACAGCAGGGAGGGTGTTTGCCTTGCACGCGGCCAACCCGGGTTCGATCCCCGGCATCCCATTGAGTACTGCCAGGAGTAATTCTGGAGTATACACAGCCAGAAGTAACCCCTGAGTATTGCTGGATGTGACTCAAAATGAAAAAAAAAAAAAAAAGAAGTGCAACACCAGGGGCTGGAGTGATAGCACAGTGAGGAGGGCGTTTGCCTTGCATAAGGCCAACCCGGGTTCGATTCCCAGTATCCCATAGTCCCTCAAGCACCGCCAGGAGTAATTCCTGAGTGCTGAGCCAGGAGTAACCCTTGAGCATCGCTGGATGTGACCCAAAAAGCAAAAAAAAATTTTTT